GCACAATACACAAATGACCGCGTTATGAGATGGGTATCTCTATCTCCAATCCTTTTTGTATCGAATAGTAGCCATAAAAGGAAGTCATAACGTAGGAGCAGACTATTTAAGTAGAACTGTGTCAGACTAAAGGTAATCAATAAATGGGTTATAGGAATAAAATTTAGTAAAAATTATATTACAAGATGTTACATGAATTGTTGGGGTTTCGGGTATAGGGGATGTGTAACAGGGTTCGTCAAAAAATCTATCACAATTGGTCCGTTCTGTTTATCTATACATGTCCAGATTGTTGTGCATACGTACACTTTGCGGTCAGGACGTCACGATGCCACCTAGGCATGCTCCTAGCAGAACATTGTAGTTTATAGACGCGTGTTTATGGAAAACAGCGTATTTGCAAAAACGTGACAATTACTATCGAACAGTATCACTGACTTGGCTGAAGGACATTGTGAATCATTGCCAAATTGTATAGGAAACTAACTTGACTGAATTACTGCCAGATTGGAGACATCAGGTCACTGACCTGACAACTGGAACAAAAGGATAGAAATAACCTTTGTCCCCACTCCTGCCCTCCTCCTGGAGAAACCCCAGTGGAATTGGGAGCACACGTAGAAGCAGTCTTCCCTTGGTGACCGAGGTGTGAGCAGGTTGTGGTCTCTCCATTCAAGTTGCGAAGAGATTCGGGCCATGCTGCATGAAGACTGACCAAAAAGCTCTACTAGGCCGATAACGGAAGCCACTAATAGTGATGAGAACATACCAAGCCACTGAATATTGTGCTGACTGAAGACAAGGGAATCATCGATTGTATACCATCACAGACTGACTACAAAGACCATGGCATTTGTTACCGGTAACCCATACACACACTCACATTAGTATAAGGAATCCCAGAGGTTGTAGTATTGATTGTTATTATTATTTTATTATTGATTGTATTGTTTGGAGACAATTATTTATTGAACGTGCTATTGCATAAGTGTATTAAATCTATTAATTTTACCAATATTGTATTTTCATTACATAAGAGTGACGTTATACCCTGCAATTACTATCTTACGATTCCAATCTGGTTATTGTTTGTTATTGGTAAAATAAAAGAACCCACAATCACGGGTATTGGGTGGTATCCTTCACGGACAGGACTGTTTGTGCCGTATATCATTCACCCTTGTGACAATCACAGTTGCTAATTATGCATTATTGTAATTACATCATGCTTAGTCATTGTTTTGATCTCAGTTACTGTTGAAATACAGTACATCCACCTGAATGTGTTACACCTATAAGTGTGCATGAACTTCTGGGATGGAGGAATAGGGTCAGTCAGAGTCAGTAAATAAAATAGTGATAACCTCTGGAGTATGCAAAGAGCGTCTTATACAATTTCACACAGCAAGAGCCTGCCATTAAAAAGACTACAACTGTTTCTGGGTCATATACTCGAGAGGACTCAGTTTTATGACCATTAAA